AATGTTAACATTTTTTTCCAGGGATTTGAGGAAGGTGCAATAGGAGTATACTCAGAAGGTAAGATCTGAACTTTCAAGTAAAATACTTCTGGAAAAAAAAAAAAGTTTCCACACGCATTCTACCTGAAGTCTTTATCCAAGCAGTGTTGTTTGCAAATGGGTTCATGATACTCCAGCTCTTCAAATATTATAGGACTGCAGTTGGCTGATGAGCCATCATGAGACTGCGAAGATCCTAAAGGACTTTGCCTTGCTTGGCTGCTGGGTAGAAGACATACTAATCGTCCATTTCCTTGGTCACGGATTGCCACAGTATCCGTTAATTTATATAGATCTGTTATAATTAGCTTGTGTCCGAATCTAAAATGAGATGTATAATGATACACTGTTCATAAAAAAGAACCTGATGAGGAGAACTAGAAAAGAATCAGATTCCAAGGACTAAAATAAATATTTAGTGACAGAATACATTAAATATTCCACATTGAGCAAGTACAGTCACGCGCAGACATTTCTTTGCCTGGGGACAGGTTGCTGCTACCCATCCCCAGGAAACACCTGTGCCACACAGCAGGTTACCCCAGATGGGGTAGGGGAGGCGGCGCCCAGCAACTGGGCTGGCCCCAGCAGCTGTATCTGGGGTCCTGCGGTCCTCCCAAGGCTGCAGCCATGACAGGAAGCCTGGCCAGTAGGTCTGTGCAAACAGGCAACTATTTGATTCGTATTTGGCCAATTCAATTCAGAGGTCCAAATAGCTTTTCTGATTCGATTCGGCCGAATCGATTTGGAAAAGATTTGGCCATAGGGTATAATGGGGAAATCAATTAAATATCTATAACTTTCTTGTTTTTTGGCTGATTCAGATGAAACTTGCAGGGGTAGTAGCTGCTACTAAGGGCACAAAGCCTGCCAAGTTTCAAGGTGAAAGGTGCAGGGGTTTCTGGGAAACTGCACCTCAAACTGCTGACAAGCAAAACTCATGGCATAGGTGACACTGTGTGTGTTAAGGCACAGGGGGGTGAAAACTGCATGGGAGTCTGGGCTCTGGGGTGCTGCACCTCTGGCCACAGGGAAGCAACACTCAGACATCTGACTGCCCAGGTACCTCTGCACTTTTACCTGTGCTGCTATATATCCCCCCCTGCCCCTCGCACCTCAAACTGCTGACAAGCAAAACTCATGGCATAGGTGACACTGTGTGTGTTAAGGCACAGGGGGGTGAAAACTGCATGGGAGTCTGGGCTCTGGGGTGCTGCACCTCTGGCCACAGGGAAGCAACACTCAGACATCTGACTGCCCAGGTACCTCTGCACTTTTACCTGTGCTGCTATATATCCCCCCCTGCCCCTCACGCCTCCATTTCCACTTTCACTGACTGGCTTTCTTGCCTGCATTGCGTGTCAGGCCGGCCTCTGCCTTCTTTACTATTCCTCCCATCCAAGACCAGGAGACACACCAACTGCAGGTACTTCCTCAGCTTAACAAAGGGTTTTTCAACCCAAAAGCTTCCTAAGATATATTTTTCAAACTATTTAGGGTTTTTTCATAATAAACATATAAACATAAAAACACAAGATAAGCCATCACACACCACGAGTAACATACATCCAACACAACATCTTTACTTCTTGCTGTCAACTCCTTTATAAAAAGAAAGGCTCTGTGACAGTTCCATCTGGATACCTTTGATGCTGCTGGTGCTATTGGTGTTGAGCCAGCTAAGTTATGTTGACCTGCTGTCGTTTACAGTGGTGGACTGGGCCGAGGCTGATGGGGAGAAGGAGACCTTGCAGGGGCACACTGCCATGCTGTGCAGAGGCCCCAGTGCCAGGAAAGGCACACCTGAACACACAGTCCCACAAGCACCCATATCACGAGTTCTGCCTGCCTACGACCAGAGGTGCAGGGCCCCAGAACCCAGACTCCCCATGCACTTATCTCCTTGACAGCTGGCAGGCTTTGTGGCTGCAGTAGGGGCTACCACCCCTGCAGTTTTCACCCCCCTATGCCTGAACACACAGTGTAAAGTATGTCACAAGTTTTGCTGGTCAGCAGTTTGAGGTGCAGTTACCCAGAAACCCCTGCAACTATCTCCTTGAAACTTGGCAGGCTTTGTGGCCTCAGCAAGAGCTACCACCCCTGCAGTTTTCACCCCACTATGGCTTAACACACACGTGTGACATGAGTTCGGCTTTCAGGATTTGAGGTGCAGTTTCCCAGAAACCCCTACACCCATCACTTTGAAACTTGGCAGGCTTCATGCCCTCAGCAGCCGCTACTATCCCTGCAAGTTTCATGAATCAGTTTCTGAATCAGCCCAAAACCAACAAAGGTATAGATATTTCATCGATTCCCCATTATACCCTATGACCCGAATCGATTCAGAGAGCCTAAAGCTTCTAGTGATTCGATCCAGATTTGTATATTCAGCCTCCGAATCGTCTCTGAATCGCTTTGTACAGCCCTACTGGCCTGCAGCCAGAATGTGGCTCTAGCTGGCCAGGCTCCAGTTTTGGGTGGTGCACATTGCTGCTACATATACCCCCCTCCCCCGCTTTTTTTTGGCATTTTTTTTTTGACCCAGGGATCTCCTGAAAGCATGCCTCCCTGCAGATAGCTTGGGCCAAAGGTAGCTCACCCACCCTGTGGGGGAGTGTTTATGGGGGAGGTGAAAAGCATCTTCTGTGGGGGACTGTGGGATAACTTGAATATGGAGGGGATATGGGACAGAAGTTCAATTAAACATTTTAACCTAAATCAGTTAAGTCTGATACTACATCCATCCAGGTTTACCTTAAACCCATTTACATGCGCTGAACTTCTGTTGTATTACAGATCTGAACTGTTTTCCAATCACTTATACCAGTATATGTGCAATTTTTGTCCCTAGCCTAAAAGACAGTCTGAAAAGATAGCTACCAAATCTGAACTGTTAATTTAAAGCACTAATATTTTCAAACTGAAAAAGGTAGCAAACTATAATGGAAAACCAACTGCAATATTTTGGCCTCCGAATACATAAAGTGCATGGAATTCTGCTACGCTAGCAAAGAAAATATTGCTTATACTTTAATCACTTATTGTATTTTACTCTACAAACAGAAAAAAAAAACAACACATTATTTTTGGTAATAACATTTAAAACCAAATGCAATTTAAAGCTTACTTTTTTTCATAGATTTCTGTGAACTTGAATATAGGCAGACAACAAGCAGGAGCATCCTGGAGGATAGAGATTGTTTCTGAACTGCAAGTGAAATTTTTTAATGTTAGAACCCTTATTAAGCAAAAGTTAACTCTGTAATCTCTTGAAGTTTACTTCAATTACTTTGTTTCTCAGCTGAGGATGAAGTACCCTGATTAATACCAATTTAATGCTTTTGGTTTCAATAAAAGTTAACCTGTTATAAAAATGAATCAGGGAACAACAGGAATCCCTAGCCTTATATGATCCCAAAACAGTAAGTTGATCAAAGCAACCAGAATTCACTGATATTTTTGCCAATTGTAAATGATGTCAAAGTAGGGACTGGAGCACATTTAAGCAATGTTTGTGTATATGACTTCTTAGTATTAAGCATGACAAATGGTCAAATTCTGCTCTGTTGCATCCAGGCCATGTATGTATGTCATACTTCTGCTTAGAAGATAAAAAGGACATGTAATATCTCTAAAGGAGCACTAAAACATCTGCACCAAAGCAGCGCAGCACTCGGGCAGTGAGGAGCAGAGCTGGCAGCGTGGAGAGCTGCCTCTGGCTGGCAAGTTGGAAGGGGAGGGAAGGGGTGTCGGGGGGCAGATCAACACCCCCCACAGTGAGGGAGGGGGCAGGGGCAGGCACTGCCCAGCTGGGGCGGGGGACAGAGGCACAGCTTGTGGGGTGGAGGCAGCTCCTGCCACTGCTTGCATCCCAGGTCGGGTGGAGCGTGCCCCCAGATCTGTACGGTGCGGGGCGGGCTGCTGTTGCAGGGTGGAGCCAGTGCTGTGCAGGGCTCTTCTCACTGGGGCTGGGCTCAGAGCGGGCTCCAGTGATGCAGAGGAGGCTGCAGCCACCCCAGATTTTGTTGGAGCTCTGCTCCCAGCCCCACGCCACCAACTGGCGCAGCCAGGCTTTTCCTGGCACTTGGGTGGAGGTGCAGAACTGAGAGCAGAATGTGACAAAATTTGGGATGGCTGCAGCCTCCTCCCAGCACAGCCTCTGGTGAGAAGAGCCCCACATAGCACCAGCTCCACCCTGCAGCTGCAACCTGCCCCGCACTGTGGCAATCCAGGGGGCACATGCCCGCCCCCACCCTCCTGGGGTGCAAGCAGCAGCAGGAGCTGCTCCCACCCCATGAGCTGCACCTCCATCCTGCGCCCTGCCCATGCCCTCTCCCTCACCGCAGGAGGCGTTGATCTGCTCCCCCCACCAGCTGATGGCAGCTGTATCGGATATCGGATCGGTATTGGCCAATATGCGTCCTTAAATATTAGATATCAGTACTGGCCCCCCAAAATCTCTATCAGTGCACCCCTAAATATTTCTTGCCCTCTAGTTCAACCATCCAGGAGACTTTTTCAAAGACTGTTCAAAATATGCATAAGAGGTAGGCACCAGATAATTATGGAAGATAATATGAAAGCCATATTAATAAGATATAGAGTAAGCACCCAGAAGTAGAACAGTAACTGATAGTGTCACTTTTTAGCTCCGTTAGCTTTTACTAACTTCTGAGTACAGTACCAGTTTCATGAAACTAACAAACTGACTTTCCTCCAGAACTTAAAAATGATGTGAAGTCAAATAGCATGAAGCTTCCAAATGAAGATCTGGTACCTTTATATAGCAGAGAAGCACCATAAACAAAACATCGAAAATGTAGCTAGTGCTAACCTAAATACTACAAGATAAAAAATTTTTCTTCACTTCAAATGAACTTTAGTCAATTGATACAAAAAATAAATTTTGCGTGGATTCTTCTCAACCTCTCTCCCTCATTGCTCTTTGATTTCTCTAATAACTGAAGAAAAAGCATTTAGGTTGTTTTATACCTAAGGAGAGACAGAGATTTATTAGCAGCTCCTGTTGCTAGAGAGACCTGAATTCTTTTGCTGCCAATTTTATATCTGTGAAGATTGTTGACAGCCCCAATTGCTTCTTGCAGATTTTCCATTTGAACTGTAGCCTTCAGTTGGTAATCTGTATGAGGACTGAGCTCTACATTCTTTACCTGGAAGAGAAATATGAACCACACAGGTCACAAAAGAGATCAGACTGAGCTAGAAGTCATATCTTTAACATGGAAATTTAGACAAGCTATACACAAATTTATTTTGCAGCCATTTCTGAACCATCCCACGGCATCTCATTGATGGGTTATTTTCTAGTCTTGGCAGCAAAACAATATCCACCTTTGTTTCAGTTGATTAAATAAGATTTTAAATATCAACTCAATATTTAAAGCGTCCAATACTTTTGAATCTAACATTAGGAGTAGAGGGTAATTTTAAAAAATATTTTACAAGCTCAAAATGAATGCGCACACAGCACCTTTATCATGTTTACCTAGAAAAACAGAATACAAAACAAAATGCATGGATCAAGAAGTACTATGGCCCAGCATCACAAAATACTGACTGATGAGTTCCAACATGTTAAGATGTCACCAGACCAGTTTTTAGTGCTTACAGAAAGCTAAAGAAAGGAAATCAAATCAAATCAAATCAAAATGAGAAAGGATTAGATCCATTACCTTGCCATGTCTAGAGAAAATGTCTTGCAAAATTTGCTGCAACTCTTTTCTGGACAACCTGTAGTCTATATTGCTGATATGAATATCTGCACCATTTGCAAAAGGATCAGGAGAGTCTGTACCACTGATCTGATTTATAATGTTGAAGGTGAGTGGGGATGATCTGTTTGAAAGGTTTGGAGACATACTCCTGAATGAAAAAAAAGAGGAAAAAAATGAAAGAAAGCATTTTATTTTCATTCAGTGACTATGACAAGTGATAATTCTGTTGGTGTCCGTGTGTTGAAAATACAAGCACGTGCAGAAAAGCTCTCACACAAATTAGGTAAACAGATTTACCAAGTTTAACTGCATTTTTCTTACACAAAAGCATTTTGTTCACATGTCCAAACACAGGAACCAAAAGTGTCTTCTTACACTGAAGAACGGATTATTTCCTCAAAAAAAACCCAACCAACCAAACAAAAAAAACCCAAACAAACTTAGAACCCCCACAAACTATCATCTCAAAATGAACAGCAAAGTTTGGAGTTGGATAGAATTTTTGCTCATAAAATATATACTTTTCTCTATACATTAAAAGCCCAAACTACTTGCTGTTATCTACCCAGGAAGACTTTTCCCAAGATCATTAGACAATTTTTGCATCACTGGGCACATGCAGGTCTTGTAAAAAAATCTTGCCTCAAATGTTAGGAAGCAGAAGTACTTCAGTAATACTGTGAACTCTACCAACACCAGTAAGGAGAGAAGGATTTGCATGAAACAGCTACCACAAAGTGAGCTTCTATTTGAAAGTGAGGAATGTTCCTTTTCTTGTTTTTAAATCCAGCTCTATCCATTAGTGCTCAGATAGCAACTAATACGTTAGCATCCATCCCTACCAAAGGCTGAGTGTCAAAATGGCTGTTAGACACAAATGCATATGCAGGATTTTTTTTGGCGGTGGAGTGGGAAGGGACAGGAAGACTGCACATGGGGAAGGGTTTTTTTGGGGGGGGGGGGGGGAAAGGGGGGGGGGGGGGGGTGTTTAAACAACCACAAGTCACCTAGCAAATCCAGCCCAAATATTCCAGATATTAAATACATGCACACTTACCGAGATGACCAGCAGCTCTGGGACATAAGCAGAGGACTCAGCTGTCGTGATGATGCTAGCTTACTGAAAGCAGAAGGGTAGCTGACCTGGAATACTGTTTCATCTTTATCTTTTCTTTCTACAGGAGAGTTGCTAATGCTTCTGGGAACAGGGGTGTCTTTTTTACTTGGGGACAGGAGGTGGGAGGGAGGAGTTAGAGAAAAAAAAAGAAATGTGTTATGTCGCAGAGCTCAAGATTTTTACTCAATTAAATTTATTGTAGTGTTAGTATTTTTCCCCCAACATACTTCTGGTTGATTTTACAGGTAGATTCTCCTGTTCCTACTTTTTTGGTTGTTGGACACACAGGTTTAGAGTTATTCTGTGCAGGAATTTGTCCTCTTAAGTGGTCTTGCTGGTTTTCAATATTTCTACTGATAGTTTTTGATTCAAGGCGGCACAGTTCCTTTACAGCAAGGGAAACAAAGCAGTTAAGGAAAAAAAACCAAAACCACACTATGTTAAATTGTGACATTTTTTCCTTCATAAGACTTTCCTTCTTCAAAATAGCTGTACAAATAAATTCTAGGTGCAATTAGAAGTAAAATTATACCCAGTGACAATTTAAAAACAAACAGCAGCATTTTGTTAGAAATATAGTGGAAATTAGTGGTAACTAAAATGAAATGGGGTAGAGGTTAACTTCAATCTTTAGAATTACCAGATTATTTGCACACTGAATTACTCTCCCACCCCTTCAAGATACAGTAGGCAAGATCAGTGGTTTTCAAAGCAAAGATAAATGATAGCTGTATTTGGAGCCCTGGACAAGAAATTGATAGCACTTAGGCCTGAAAAAGTGTGGTGTGAAGGCAGAAGATAAAAGCTTCTCTCTGGAAGATCACAGATAGCTCCCTCCATTGAGGAAAGTCACACCCAACACAGGGAGGTTAAGATTCAGAAAACTATTGATTATATC